ATATATATATAATGAATCCACAATGATTCCAAAGCTGTAACTTCGTCCTGCTTTTGAATTATTTTAATTTATATGACACAGTCTTTTACATTGCAACTCAACAGAGAGCTTTTTTTTCTTTCTTTGATATCTGAATAATTTGTCAAGGCTGTGCCTCCTATCCTCCTCACATACATCATTTTTCTTGTAATTTCCAATAAATTAAATGTGTCGCTGTTGATTTATTGCTATTTATTTTGTTTTTCTTCATTTGAATCTACTTGCCTTATGAAGGTCTAGGACTGAGATGTTGCTTTATTAAATTTATTTTATGCAGTTTGCAAATCAGACAGTGTGTAGGAGTCTGTTTTTGTACCTGTTGGATGTGCTCTTCAATCTCCTCAGCACCTGCTTCTTGAAAGAGTTGTGTGAAGAGTTCCCTTGATTTTAGGTTTTGGGTTTTTTTTTTGCATTTTTTTATTGCCATCTAAATAGAAAATTTAACAAATGTATTTTTAATATCTAATTTTTAATGTGCTTCTGTGTTTCTATAAAGCACTTAAAATTGCTTTGTGTCTAAATGGCTCTGTATAAATTGTCTTGCCACAGCTAAGGATCATGATAGCATCTCTCATCAGCACTGATTGTATATAGAGGTGGAGCCTTTATGAAACTTCTAACTCCTAATCCAGAAATCAACCCTGGAACATTTCTTTTGTAAGTGCAGGAATAAAGTTTTCTAAAGTCCCTTTGAACAGCAACCAAATTATGATTCAGTACCATAAAAATAGAACACAATGTTGAGACAGAGTTTGCATAAATAATAAAAAAGATCAAATGTAGCCTCTATGGGTATTAATCGTGGTGAAAATGCAGACCCTCCATTTCCTGCATCATTTAATGCAAAGCTCAATTCAAGTCTGCAGTTACAAAACAGTGTTGAACAAACGACTTTAAAATTGCACATCTAAAAATACTGAACTTTATTGATTTCTGAATAACAACAGATCTACAGACATGGCTTGAGGAGTCACACTTTATTTACAAAAATACTGAGAACCAAACAGCCGAGGGCGAGAAAGTGTGATGGCAAGTACGTTTCTTGATCTTTATTGCTATTGAACGGCAGCTAAAGGCTCCTGGTTGCATATGTCAGGATGTTGTTGGGTAATTGCAGGGTCAACCTTAGCGTTACAGGCTTCTTCTGAGCTACGACTTTCGCCACAGTGTGCGCTGCTTCATCAGGCGTGTGTCCGAGATGATCACAGTTTGGTTTCTGAGCAGTGGCAAGCTGAGGGCGTCTACTTTCTGCGGCGGGCGGCAGCTCCCTTCTTGCTGCTGTAATACGAAACAAAGAGAAATGGAGACATGTCAGAAGTCTGGGCTGTATTCAGCAGTTCTTGCATATAAGGAATGAGTGATAGCTGTGCAGGTTGATTTTCCAAGTTTCACACATTCAGATTATCAGCGTTGGTGCCTTGCTCAAAGACTCTTTGGTAGTAATCGGGTACAAGCAAAGCATGAAGCAACCAAAAGTTAAATACATCCACAAAAGAGCTACTACAGAGTTTCAGGGTTTAAAAAGTTATCACCTTACTGTATTAACTGTATTAACATGATACTGCATATACCTACATAAATCCTAGTTTTGTGTTATGTTTACATAGTTCTAGCATCAGATCTCAATCTGATCAATTCAAATGTTAAATAGTTTCAGTTTACTGTCTCTATGCATGTTGTATTTCTATCCGGCTGCACAAAATGTTCATGTCTGCAGCTCTTTTAATGAGCATTTCCATGCAATTACAAACATAAGTTAGATAACTTTTTGTTTTCTATACAAAAATTATAGCTATAAGGTGTAGAAGACTGGAAAAAAATATTTCTATATCACAAAATAAGAGCAAGTTAAACATTTAATTTAAAGAAATCTTGTGGTCTAGGGTTAGACATCAAAAACCCCATTATTACTTTAAAAGAACCTTAGTTTTTCCACACAGTAGGATGTAAGGACAAAACAGAAAACAATAAAAATGCAAAATTTTCTAGACATCATGTCAAACATCTCTGTTGACGTGCAGAACTCAGAGACAAACTCATGCAGCACTTACCTGCACAGGCTGAATGACTAGAGTCCAGAAGCCATTAACCACATATGAACATGTTTGACTTGTAATGGACTTCTCACACAATGAAATAAAGGGTCAGTATTAAAAAAAAAAAAGAAACAAACAAACCCTAACGTCACTGAAAAAGGATGCTCCATGTTGGCTGTAGGCGTGTTTGAGTTAGGCTAATGTTTAGTTATCAGCTTAAAACTAGACTATTTTACATTTTTGATCAACCTTTATTAAGTGCATTGACTAGTCAAACCGCCTACAGCTTCATCCATCCTTTTTCAGAGAACATCTCTCACTCTTACCGACACTGGACAATTAGTAGCCTTACATTTACATTGAAATGTAATATTCAGTGTTATAATGGACACATCAGAGGAACACCACATAAAATGCATGGGACACTAAAGAAACAATACAGAAACGACTAATTACAGAGCCCATCAGGTGCATAGAGCAAAAAAATTATTCCTGTAGAAATCTATGTGAAGAGACGCTAAATAAAGCTAACACATTAGCGCTCAAGCCATCTGTGTGCACAAATTAATATATAATAAAAACAGAATAATACCTCCTACCAATAACATTTTTGACTTGAAGTGCTAAATAGCTATTTTTTCCCTCAGCGAAGTGAGACTAAGGTCTAAAAAAGAACTAAAGTTAAGAGACATGAAGCTAATATTATAACTGATGCTCTACGATTAGCTGTAAATACAGCAGCTGTGCTACATGTTGGGGATTAGCTACATTAGCCTAGCGAACTTTTACTCTATAAATTGCAGCTATAATAGCTACTCGTGACTCTGCTAAACCTTCATTGGCATTAGTATTAAGATTAACATGTAAACTCTTTGAACTTTTAGCTTGTTAGCTCATGAAAAACAACTGATGGCATAAGATAAACTGCTTGCGTATTTTCTGACATGAAGACAAGATGTCTGCCAGCGCTCTGGCTGGATGCTGATTTCCAGATAGTTTGACTTTTGTCTGGACTGGATTTGGGCCTGAACACTCTGGTGGTGTTAGTCGGGTGTTAGTCTGTTTATGGCTTTTTTAAAAAAAAGGGATTTAACATAAAAACTTATTGTTAACGTGTGCTGTCATTGAATAAAGGCCACAGTCTTAGACTTTAATGTGGAAGGCAAAATTTCCCATTGAACTCTTACACTGGAGCCAGTTTAACAAATGATGAATCACATTCTCACCTCCGTTATTAAAAATACAAACTGGTCAATATGTAGTAGGTTTTAAATGATTATTCATTAGTTTTATTATTTGATGTATTTGTGTGTAATCCAGCAACTGCTGGAATAGACACAAAAGTGAAGCAGTTGTTTGCCATAAACCACCATGAACTGTCCCCACTGTCAGGACAGTTATGTCTTGCGGAGGAAGGGTGTGATGTTCACCCAGACAACAGCTGGAGTTAGTGGAAGTTATGTTTTGTACTTACTGCTTCTGCAACTCATCAATGCGATGCCTGTATGTGACCACCTGAAAAACGACACAGCAGCAACTTTAACATGCAGCAGGACATGTTTACCTCTGAGGGGACCAACTCCCTTCTCTTCTTCTTAGCAGGCTCCGTGGACTGAAAGCTGCTAGCTGAAGCATGATGGGAAACTAAGACGGGGTCATGTGTACAATCGTATAATTTGAACTGAATGCTATTCATCCTCATAACAGAGGCGAATGCTGACCTCAGAATAGAGTTTCATCCCTCTCAGGTCAAGCAGTTGTTGAGTATGACAGTATGATCACTGCTTCATTGGAATGACGGTCGTAGTTTCCCGAAAAGGAACAATTTAAGAAGGCTTTGGCTTTGGCTTTGGCTTTGGCTTTAGCGTGAGGCTGAAACCTCAACAGGCTCTTACTTACCTGTTTTACCGTGTATGCATCCACCTGACTAAGGCTATGTGGTGTTAAAACTGAGCTTCTCAGTCACCATCTTTACATCCACTTTAGATCGTTAATCTGCTTACAACTGAAACATTTGATTCCAAAATGACATCACCTGGGCTTAGGTTATGAGTGGACCTTTAAGAAATACTATCCCATTTTAGTTGTGTTAAAAATAAACATATTTACTTGAATCGTAGCAGAGGAAAATTAATATAGACCTTTTTTTTTTTGCTGTATAAATTCTGCCTGAATGTCAGAGGACTGAAACATTAATAAGTTGAGTTTACATTAAAAGTATATGGGATTACAATTACTGGATGAAGACAGGAATTTTTCTACATATCAGTACTTCATTGTGTGCAACATCTTTGAAAGAGGAATCATAATCACTATATATGTTAAATAATACCTATAAATATAAAATATAAATTCTAAACAGTTTTTTGGTTTTCACTGTGGCAGCCCAGTTTTCAGTCATTAACAACATTTGGGTCCTGAGCTCTCACTGATGACGGCAGCGCTTCTTGATGATAAAATGATGAAAAACTACTTTAAAATGTTTTAACTGAACAGATGTCACCTTGGAAACAAACTGCTCTTGTCTATGTTTTTCGGCAGTGTGTTGTCCCGTCTCTGGCCAGCTCCTGCTCTGGTTCTCCAGCCTTCCTTCATGCTAACATGCAGTGAGCCTGAAGCCGGTAGAACGCTGCTCAGCTCTACTACTTACAATTTACTGAGCTCCTCCACTCTCTTACGCAGGGTTGTAACCTGAAGGGAATCAAAGAGTAGCACAGAGGGTTCAAATCCAGAGGTGGAGAGTGATTCACCTCAGGACACCAGCATCTAGCAACAAGCTGGTGCATTTGAGAAACCTGTGGATTGGCCGTTCTTGAAATTCTCAAGTTAACCTTTAGGTATTTATATGAGGTAGGAAAATATGACTGCATTGAGATGTGTTTTTTTTAATTTTTTTTTTGTAGTGGGACAGACAGTAAACATGCATTAATCCTAAATAACAGATCAAAGAGATATAAGTTAAAATGTGTGAAAATACAGGAGGAGAAGGAGGTACATACCGTGGACAAAACTGTAAATTAAATAATCAAGTAAAATATTTTTTCTGCAATATAAAATTAAGATAAAGATGCACTCGAAGCAATCTCATGAAAAGACACATTTGTAAGAGATAACATACTTGATTTTTTTTTTTATTAGTAACATAAATCAGTTTAACCAAATAGTAAAATGTAAAAACAACCTTTCTGATCACTAGGACCTGTCCAGCTTTTCTGTCTATAAAGCTGTTCTAACTCATAGACTTTCCCATTGACCCTTGCCAAACCAGAAATGGAAATATAAAATATCTGTTAGTGACTGAGATCTTCCTCATGACCCTTCTCCATGTCGCTAATATGGCATCACATACTTGAACCTTCTGCTTAAGGACACCGACAGTGATGGCCACTGTGGTGTAAACCCAACAGGGATGGAGGCTCACCTCATACTTCTGCTTCTTCAGTCTCTCCATGTGGTCGAACTTCTCAGACTCCAGCTGGGTCATCCAGTCGTGCAGCTCTTTGATCTTTTCCCTGCAGGAAACAGAGGAACGCAGTTAAAGAAATTTGCTTCAAACAGATAGACTGATGTTGTACAAGTGAAGGTTTGGTGCTCTATATGCTGCTTTAAATTACAGCCAAACCTTTGGATCAAACTTCTCATTCAGGTTCATATTTTTACTGTGTAGAACAAAACTGAAGGTATTAAAACTTTGACATAACATATATAGAACTATGTGGTAACTAAAAAAGAATTAAACCAAAATATGTTTCATATTTTAGATTCCTCAGAGTTGTTTCTGTTTGCACACTGTACTCCTTCAAGACCGTTGGAAAAGCTCCAGGTGAAGATGTCATGAAGGTGGTTGTCAAAAAGTCACATATTTTACTACGTTTTTTTTTTTTTTTACTTACTACAAAGCTGAATGTGTTATTTCATTTTGTTCTACAATATAGAAAATAACTGTATGTAGGTGAATACTAAGGGATATGTTCACATGAATCTGTAGGGACCCGTGTGGTTCGCTGTGGCCTCCAGAGACCAGTGTGGGTGTCAAAGTATTGACTCATACTTCAGCTTGTCTTCGTTCAGATGGTCAATGTTGAGCTGCTTGCGTCTAGCGGCCAAGATCTTCTTCTTCTTCTCTCTCTCAGTCTCTTTCTTTCCTCCTCTCTTTTGGTCAGCCTGTTTAGTACAGATACAGTAACACAGACACAAGTTAACGGCTGATCAATACTGCTGCTATTGATTGTGTGTGTGTGTGTGTGTGTGTGTGTACTGACTCTCTGCAGGTGGCTGCTGTAGTTGGAGCCCATGTTGGAGAGAGCAGACTTCTTCTTTGCCTCTTCATCTGCCTTCTTCTTGGCATCAGACTCCTCCCTGATCCGCCTCTCCTCCTGTGTTCACAAGAAACACCTCAGAGTGAGACCATATTGAAAGTTTGGAAGTGAAAGAATAATAAATGAAGACACGAACAATGATTGCAACTACTAATTGAGATATGTGAACGCTGAGGATTACACTCTTTTTCTTCGGGCCTTCACAGTTAGCAACACAATGACGCTTCTGATTTAGGAGTCATAGCTTAATGCTTCAAGAGCCACAACAATGAATCAAATGCAACAAAGCCACGAACCTCACGTCTGGCCTGACGCTCCTTCTCCTTCTCAGCACGGACCCTCTGCTGCTCGGCCCTCTCAGCACGACGCTTCTCCTGCAAGGTGGCAACAAACACAGAGTTTTTATCACTACACTCAACATTCTGAGGTGGAAAAGCAGCTCTGAACTCCAGAGGAGAGGGACAGATGTTGTGTCTCTGTTGCAGAGTCCTCGATAATATCAATATAATTTGTATGTATTTATTAATTAATTTTTAATTGTTGACTTTCTGAATTGACATTGCTGTTAAATCTAAGAGAAAAAGATGCATTTGGTGTTTAGGACCTATTGTCAAAGGTATGAGAACACTTTTAGGATGCTGGAACCCTTTATTTTAAAGGGGATTATACTTCTCTGCTTCTCTGTATTGAGTTTTTCCAGAACCTAATTCATATTTATATTTAAAAATAACATTTTATTGCTGACACGATTATTTCTACACCATTTTATTACATTTTTGTCTTTATTGGTATTTTATTGGTTTGATAATTTGCAATTTTTTCCCCCCTCTGTGCTTTTACTTCCTTTGAGCTGTTTTTTTTTTTTATTTTTACCAGCTTGTAATTAATCTGTAAAACAATTTCTGCTTTAACATGTAATAAAAGTGCTATACAAATACAGTTTGATTGATTTTATGAATAAAGGAATTCTACTTCTAAATGCTGTCAGTTAAACTTTTCCCTTTGAGAAGAAAATATAAATAAATAATAATTCCATATGGTAATTTCATAAAGTCCCTCAGTGATGCTGCCTGAGAACTTACAATCCTCTCCTTGAGCGCAATCAGCTCTTCTTCCTCCTTCTTCCTGTGCTCAAAGTGAGCATCGATGAGGGCCTGCAGCTCAACCAGATCCTTGTTCTGACGTTTCTTCTGGATGTCCTGCAGGGTGGAAAAACACAAACAACTCAGTCAGGCAGAGAAACACCACGACTCAGCATAAAGCCTTCCTGCCTTCACTTCAGATCTACTTACATCAAAGTCCACTTTCTCACCATCGGGGATCTTTGGAGCGCTGGGCCTGCGAGAAAGTGTTGGGGTCTTGAGTGCACTGGCACATGGCTGATCATAATGTTGCTTTTGTTGTTTTTGTTTTTTTCAACCAAATGGCTCAAAACAAAATGTCTGTAAAAATCACTTAAAGTCCGATCACATGAAAAGGAAACTTACTTGAACTTTGGCTTCTCCTCTGCAGGTTAAGAAATGAAGAAGGGATGAGTACATGTCATCGGGTTAGAAAAAAACAAATTATTTCTATTCTCTCAGGCATACTCGGTTAGAGAAATAGTCAAATATGAGCAAACATATTTACACAGACGTATTAAGAACAGAACCAAACGGTTTAAATAAGGGATTATGAAGTTATTTGAACATCAGAGAACCATCTAGCCTCAAGTGCAGTTACAGTAAATCTGAACTGTTAACACGGTGTTGTATTCTATGACATCAGTGTTTTCATATTGCTCAGGTTTAGAGGTTTTAACATGTTCTTCATACCTACAATATGTGTCGTGTTATTTTTTTTGCAAGTTATTTTTTTTGGCTTGACCCCAAAATTATCAGACACAAGCAAGACAAAAGTCATTTTCTTCTCTTTTTCTTCTCTTCTTTTAAAACCAGATTCTGGCAGCTCCATGCCATGCAGATGATGAGTGGCATAGCAGGAGTGTAAACGTGGGGTCGCTGTGCAGTGAAGCACGTGTTAGCAATACATATTCTTTCACCCTTCTTCTCCACCAGCAGTTTCAATTTTTCCTCACAACTCCTTCAATAAGCATTTTAAGTGGTGTGTTTTTCGACAAATTTGGAAACTGATTCTTCGGTCCTATTCGGGCAGCGCTCCTGGAGTTTTAACAGCAAGATTAAAATTTTGACAAACAAGCAGGCGTTCCCTGAGAACAGATGTCAGACCTGTACACTAGAGTCCTTCCAAAACCAGAATGACAGATTCATCAGAAGTTTTTTTTAAAATCAACATACCTTCCTCTTCAACTTCCTCTGCATGCAGCAAGCATCGAAAAAAAACAAAAGCAGAATAGACAACAGTGTTAGCAGGCACACTGGAGCAGCAAACTGTACAGCCAAACAGCTGAACACAGTCAAACTAACAGTCTATCTGCTGCAGCTCAGCATGTGTAAATTCTCAAATTTTGCCAAATGTCAGCCAGCATGAGCTAATTAAATGCATTCGTTTTTTTGAGAGAACAGTTGGACTGCTTGTAAATAGTTTGAAAAAAGGCTTGTCAAAAGAAACGTAAGCACTTCAGACAGTATTTGAGAATTTACTGGTAGTTGCATCAAGTCTTGACTTGCGCAAGCCACAGTTTGACCTTTAAACAGCTCAACACAGAATGATCCCTGTAACATTTAACCCTGCATTCACATGCCATTGGACATTTCAGAAACTAAATTGTTGAGGTCTGGACTGGTTTAAAATGAACTTTTGTTTTTGCTTTTTTTCATCAAGGGCATATGAATGCAACACCATTTTGGAGCTGGAACACATTGTCAGACAGGACAGCGGATAAGTTCAGAAAAAGATGAAATTGCAGACACCATCTTTTTTTTTTTCTCTCTTTCATAAATACATGTTTGTTTTCATGTTCTGCAGTAAATGTTGTTCATCTGATGTTTACCATCCTCAGATATCAAAACAGTGAAAAAGCAAACATGTACAGTAAGTACAAGTACTTGAGCAGGATAAGTAGAGTTAGACTGATAGAAGAGGCCAATATTTGTCTTTTCTTTGATTCGTTTTTAGCCGTTCTTTATAAAACATGTCATGTGATTGCAGTAGAAAGCTGCCGATGACAACATTTAAGCAAACAGCAAGCAAGGCTAAGTAGCTCTAACTATCTAGAGTTCATTTGCTGTTAAAGTAGGTTGACTCATGGATTCGTAACATTATGTCCATATCGTTTCGAAAGAAAGGAATTTATGATTTTTTACAAGCTTCTGATGTAGGGAAGGTTCTGGCTATTTATAATAGCACAAAAAAACTTTAGTTCAAAAATATCAGCCTGCTAATATCAGTCATATCAGAACTGTAGAATGCTTTGGATAAGATCGTTTCAGCATGGTTATATTTCCGTAAAAGGTCTTCACGTCCAACTTGTGCCCTCTAAGCGCTGTTTTTGACTTTGTCCAGAGGTGAAAGGAAGGTTGCGTGAGCATTAGCAGACATGGTAGGACATGTGTGCGGGTCAGGATTAGTGGGGTCTGTCTGTCTGGCTGGAGCTGGAGCATACCTGACGCCTGGGAAAGGATAATAGAATACCCCTTTCCCCCCTTCATGCCACATACCTTCAGGCTCAGGCTCAGGCTCAGGCTCTGGTTCTGGTTCTGGCTCTACCACTGGTTCTGGTTCAGGCTCTGGCTCTGGTTCTGGCTCTGGCTCAGGGGCCGCCTCAGGGGCCACCTCTACTTCCTCTACTACCTCCTCTTCTACAGCTTTACAACATGCAGCGAGTCACCAAGGGAGAGGAAGGGTGGTGAGAGGGTTAATGGAAGCAGGAGACAATGAAAAAGGGAAAGAAGTGGTTGAGGTGAGTATAGATGAGAGGGAGCCGTGAGATACGAGGAGGTTTATGCCCATTCAGTTTGGCAGAAGTGCCAGCAGATGGTGCTAAAGCAGGTGAAACAGCAAGCAGTTACAGGAGGAAAAAGATCAGTCATTGATGGATGAAATGTGATCGATCCCTGGATATACTTGCATTGCTACTTGGTATAGTCAAAGACAAAAAGAGACAGATTCTACGCTGACACAATCACCGTTTCTGACTTGTGCCCTTACATTCATCTCAGTTACTGTTAGTGTTAACCAGCATGCTACAAAAACTGTAGCACTACAAAAAAAAAAAAATGTGGAGGTAAGAACACACATCTTTAGAAGTGACTGAAAAATTAGTATCAACGGTGTGAAACTTATCATCTGAAGTCTGCAGGCTGTGTCTTACCATCGTATTCTTCACGTCCGTCCGAAAAAGAAAGGAGCAGAAGAACATTATCAAAAGATCCCATTTGTACCCATTTTGACAGAATACCAAAATGTGGGTACACAGGGGATCCATGCTAAGCATACACAAACAGTCCTCGTGAGCAGATCACAGCTTGCAGGCAGGTCTTTGACGTCACTTTACACGTCAAAAATCTGTTTGTTTTTTTCATCTGGAAGTGTGTCCTGCTCAGGAGGACTGCACAGTGCAGATGATCATGCAGAGCTGCAGGTCTCTGCCAGCAGGTCAGTGCATCTGTCGCTGATATATATTTCGATTTTTATTTCACACAGCCCATTTGACACTGTCCTGCTGTCAGAGGTGGTGCCTGCAACCATGCCACAGCGAGAGGACAACATATGTGCAGATTTGCTTGAAAGAGACAGCGTGATTGCACAACTTGAATCTGGAGGAGTCAAGCCAAACCTGCAAACATACGAATTTGTCCAGAGCAAATAACTTTCTATAGAGGGATGGAAAGTCAGTTAGGCAAGATTCAGAAAAAAATACTGGGACTTAGCATTGAACTCTTGACTGCACCTGGACCTAATCTTTGAGATTTAATTGTAATCTCCTTTTTAAACAATTTATTTATGTTTTTCAAAGCAGTGAAAACGGTGGTACTTACCCTCAACTCCACTGCAAGACAGAAAATAGACATTCTTAGAATTAAAGCGAATCATTAAAAATGGGTAAGAGCTTGACAGTGGAAATGGTAGTTTGACAAAATGATTGATCTTCCTCTAATTGATGTTGTAATGCTTATTAGAGCTTTCCACAGATTTCAGCTGTAGATACCAACATAGATTTATGGTTGGTGTCTCTCTGACAAACGAAAAGCTGACAAGTGGAATTTGTCTTAAACGTATTTTGTCAAACTACTTTTAAAAAAAGTGAAAAGTTGTGTGTGTAAATGTGAATTAACTTACACATCCTCTGTGTCAGACATGGTGACAGTGGACTTTGCAACCTAAAATCAAGAGAAAAGACAGGAACTTAAAGTCTGCCTGTAAAGAGTGAATGTCCAGCTGGCTGTATTTATAGCTCAGGATTATGTTGCAGATGTCTTAAATATGTGCTCCTGGCCCCACCCTGACCCAACCCCACCGAGCTTTCCTCCACATTTTTATCCCCCATCTCATCAAACTAAATAATCTTTATGTAGATTCTTTACTGAAATCATTCGTTCCTCATCCTTTCACATGCCTTGCAGAGTATTTGAAGTAATCCCATAGCTTGTCACAAACAAACATCTTCGGTTTATAATTAGCATGAGACTTTGGACTGAAATTTGAGCCTCGGTCCTGAATCTGCCTCTCTCATGAAAAGAGAGAAGGAAGCCAAACTTAGATTATGTCTGTTTTCTGCTGACGAGAGGAGATATTAATGTTGGGACAAAAAAAACAACAAGGAAATCTCAAAGGCAGTGTTGAAGACCACTGCCCTGCTCTCTCACATCACTCTGCATCAATCTGACATCAAATGGATGCAGACTGCCTCATTTCTTAATCGCCTCGATCAAATTCTGTCACATGTAAAATCAGTGATCGCATACGATCCTGCCGGTATTCAGTTGTAAAATTCCAGACGGGATGTTGTGTCCTAACTGCGATGGTAAACAAATGTGACCTGAATTTACCTAATTTAATCTGTCAGTGATTAGATTTCAGTTTAGTCGCCCATTAGCTTGATTAGCCACCATGAAGGCATCCCGACATCACAACTATTTCGAAAAGACAGCTGCACAGGTCCCAGATCTGGTTTCAGTGGACCCAACGCTGAAGACTGGGTTCCTTCACCCTGGACCACTACCCATAATTCCACCTTCATTTCCTTATGTGGCTGTCCTTCTCTCACATGGCTCCTTCAATCATCGTCCCGAGGCTCCCTGTCGACTGAGGCCACTTTGCTCAAGAATTAAAATAAACCCTGAAAGGCCGGCCATGAAGGTTAAAGGTCTAATGCCTGGCTTCCCTCAGTGTGTTCTTTGAATCCTGTAAATTCCATACGCAATGTGTTTACACCACAATGAAATAACGGCATTCAGGATAAACACTCCGCATTTAGATGATTCCTTTAAACCAGGCTTGAGGTTCTGGACTCCTGTTCAAGCAACACATATTCACTAATGGATATCAAGAGAATTACAAGTATAGCCCAAGAAGCCTGAAATCTTAAAACAGCGATGCCCCTGACTTCAAATACCAAAAACAACAACAGGATGCTTCGCTGCTGTTCCTATGATGTTGCATAACTCATTAGTATCGTCTTCTGTCTCCTGAAGCGGAAAGCTGCTTCAAAGGCTTTAAGCCATCTGTAAATCCCTAAGGTATGAACCTCCGCTGACTGACTGGACTCAAACCAAACCACCACAGAAACTACAACAAGGCCAGCTGCTTGTCTGGCAAAAGCCCCAAGAACTTCTACACTTTATCAGAGTTTTGTATTTAAACATCAGCTGAGGTTTTACGTGGTTAAAACTGCAAAAATAGTCCAATTTCTTGACTTATTTTGGAGATTTTGCAAGATGCTATAAACATGGTTCTAATCAACTTCTCATGCACTCAGCTGCAATCAAACACTAGATTTAATTTCCACCAAAGATCACAGTGTGGGCTTCAAATGGAGGCCTGTTTTCTCTGTGATTCACTCATCCAACTGTTTTCCTTCCTGCCCCTGACATTGGCAGCAGCCTCTGCTAGTCGTGGCAGTGATTTTAACACGTGTGGACTCAGCTGTCCTCAGTTTGGGTGATGTTTGGGGACATTGCAGTTGAGCTTCCTCTCTACCATTCACACTCTCATTCTCTCCCTTTCTTCCTTACCTCAGAAAAGCTGAAAGAAGCGAGCTCCCTTTGGCCAAGACAGGCTGTAAGGTTCTGCAAACTTACCGCGCTGATTATGTCCTTCTGTTATAGTGATACTCGATCCGCTCTGCATTCCTATTGGCCGAGGAGCTGGCTTGGAGGCGAGGTCGTCCCTGTGGTGGGGCAGGGTCCCCATCCTCAGTCTCAACCCCCCTCCCCGTTTGCTGGCACTCAATAAGGAGATGGAGGGTCGAGCGTTAAGGAGGGAGGCTCAAGTTTGGAGAAAGGGACAGCCAAGATGCCCCCAGGATGCTATTCTGGGGCTGCTGCATTAGGCAAGCAAATTTCATCTGAGAGTGAGAAGAGAGTTGGACGTCAGGGAAGCAAGGCAGGTGGTGTTGCTAAACCTCTCACAGACGTCTGCAACACAACATAATGTATAGCATGACCAAAGGGGGGATAAACACCTGAATGATTTTTCTGTCCAAGCTGTAAATCCAAATTACTGAACCAGCTCTTGTTTGCATGTTCTTTGATTTCCCAGTTTGCAAGAAAAAAAACAATAGCTACAGCCACACAGCTTAATGACTGCAGGAACTGAAAAACTCAAAGGCACTATTAGAAGACAAACATGCTCAATTAGCAGAGCAACCTTTTGCCACCTGGTTGGCCCACAAGAGATCCTAAATGGAAGTTTAATGGAAAAATACTGTTAAATTCAAGGTAATAAATGCTTAAATATGTTCTCAAACAAGTAATTTGGTATTCATGTGAATATACACTTATACCTTCTCTTCATTTAAAATCTTACTCAATCATAAAAATGTAAACTGGAAAGTGTCTTTTACTTATTTCATACAAAGGTGTCTGCTTAGATTTCTATAAGTCAAGCTGTGTTGAACTACATTTATTTTTTTGACAATGAATGAGTGACTATGTTGCAAATGTGTATTCCCAATGTGAGTTTGACTCAGAAATAACTACTTATGTAACAGAAATCCTTATAAATGTCTTTCCGATCAACTGTCAGGTCTAAACAAGTTGCAGCTTCGGGATCCTGAATGATCGTCTAATTTCCTCCAGGGGGTGCTCTAATGGCAGAGTTTAGCTGAGAGGCTCTTAGTCACCCACCTCTGGGAGTGTCAAATCATCAATGCCTCAGAAACATAAATAGATAAACGTCAGGCTAAGGACCATATGTTTGATGTGGTTGTTGCTGACCTGACCTGTGGTGAAAACACATAAAACAATTTTCTGTCTTGATAAGATAGCTTCATGTAAAGTACAGGGTGGTCAAAATAAACATTTCCTGCCAAATGAATTCCATACAAAGACAAATGACAGTCTTCCTCTAAGGTGACATCTAACTGAAACCCTAAGAACAGCTTGTTATAGACTGTTGTGCCATTACAAACTATAGGAACCTGCTGAATCCAGGGAGAGTTTTTAGCTTCCAAGTCATAATTACAACTTGGAAGCTCACACAAGTTAGGAATGTGTATTTACAATGACTCTGACTTGACATCAGACATGACATTAAAACCCTCATGAGCAACAACAACAACAACAAAAAAAAGTCACTGCCCCCATTCAAAGAACTGAACACCTCTGTTTGCATTAAAGATACATTGAGATTAATTGATGACTTTTAGAACCGTTAGACATTCAGATTCCCTTAAAAACCTTTACCCTCAGCACCACATCACTGATGCCTGACTCTCCCTCTGGAGCCTCAGTTTGGACGCTTAATCAACACCAGTAACACTATGAATCCCCTCCTGAAAGTGTCTGAAAAAGTGTGGCATGTTTAAGTAATATTCCATCTTCTCTCTCTGATGGCCAACTCACAGGGGTAACCATTCTAAGGACAATATGATTTCTGACTTGAAAATTAAAATACATTCTTAGTGAGCAAAGCTATGTTTCTCCCATATTAGCTTGTCATCATTGGCTCCCCTCCATCCATCCATCATCTATGCACCGCTTAATCCTCACTAGGGTCGCAGGGGGCTGGAGCTTTTTCCAGCTGACTTAGGGTGAAGGCAGGAGACACCCTGGACAGGTCACCAGGGCAACACAGGGAGACAAACAGGATGCGAACCAGGGATCTTGTAGCTGTGAAGTGACGGTGCTTACCACTGAATTGGCTCCCTTTATAAAATAAAATTTAAAATCCTTCTCCTAACATGAAAAGCTCTTAATGACCACTGAAACTTAAAGACCTCATACGACCATGACATCCTAACAGAGCACTTCTCTCTTAGAATGCAGGTTTACTTGTGATTCATAGAGTTTCTGAAAGCAAAATGGGAGGCTTCAGTTATCAGGCTCCCAGTTGAGGTTCACAAGGCAGACACTGTTTCTGCTTTTAAGATTTGGCTTAAAACTTTCCTTTTAGCTAAAGCTTACAGTTGGGGCTGCTCAGGATCACCTGAGCCATTCCTAAGTTATGTTGCTATAGGTTTAAACTGCTGGAGGACTTACCATTGGTGCACATACTTGGTGTTTTTTCTCTCTCTATGGGTATCTCTGGTTACTGGTCTCACCGGGCTCCAAAGCTTATATTGTGCTCTTACCGGTTTTCTATCTGCTTTGCTTTTTCCCCTTTACCCTCACCCCAACTGGGCAGGGCAGAAGACCGCCCTTCCTGAGTCTGGTTCTTCTGTATGCTGAAAGTTTCTTCTTGGTAACAGAGTTTTTTCTTCCCACTGTGGCCAAGTGTTGGTCAAAAGGAATCCACAGGAAGCTTTGGATTTCTTGGGTTTCTCTATAACATTCAGTTTATAAGGTTTCATCTTACTTCGTGAGCTGCCTTGAGATGACATACGTTATGAACTGGCACTATGTAAATAAAACTGAATTTATTGAAAATTACAGTCCCAAGAACTCCCAAAATGTAACTAAAGTCCTGTGAATGAAAGCCCCCCCCAAAAAAATCTCATGGATTAATGTGAAATGAACCTTTTCCTGTTTTTCTGGGCACACTGTGGAGCCCCCTGTCGGATCCTTACATTTTTGAAGGACCCCTGGGTGGCCCTGAGATCCCACTTTTAGAGCCCTGAGGCGGTGAAACCTAAGGTGCTGTGGCTTGTCGGTGCTGCATCTTGCCTTGCCTTGCTCTCTGTCACGACGACGCTGTTGTCACTGAGCAGCTTACAGGGCTCTCAATTTATTTTTGGACTGCTATGGCGCCTGTTCCTTCCATTTGTAGGAAGGGGGGTCGAGTTGGTCTCAACATGAACCTGACGTTCTGACACTCCAGGCTGGGACAAGCAGGCAGGAGCCCCCCAAGCAGCAGCCGCACAGGTAAACACACCAAAATTACACCTTTTATTCTCCAGATCGAGCAGAGAGAAACTGTTAGCAGTGTTAGGGAGGCAGCTGCTTGCCGAATGCAGAACCCCCCACCTCGGCAGCCAGACATCTGACGTGTTTGGGGAGCTCAGGGTGTTTTTTTCTTGTCCTCAGTGCAACATTAAAGCACCAACAGGGATGATGTAATTGTTAGCTTTGCACTGTTTCGACTCCCTGTGGCTTCAAAACACACTCTGCCCTGTCATTTATCTGTCCTGGCTGCAATAAGGCATGAGTGAATGATGATCGTGTTTTAGCTTCGGCTTGTATATATTCCTGATGTGCAGGTCTAGGGAATAAAGTTGTCCTTGATGGGTTTGATTTTGTACATTGAACTTGAATCGGTGCTCTTTCCTGTTGTGTCAAGGGGAACCTGCCTGGAGGGCTTTGAACATCAGCAACAAGTTTATACCTGGTAAGTGTTTCCACTGCTTCCTGTGTTTGTGCAAAGACTGATAACTTCACAATATGTAAAGATTTTTTGAGGTGGATTTATTTACTTAAGGAGGCCTTTGTGGAGTGGCTTGGTTTTTTATTACGCAGCTATTATTACTCTTTCCTCTTTTGAACTTACATCCTGACGGCACTCCAAATACCAAAACTACCAGAGCCTTAAAAGGAGGAGAGAGTATCTCATGTGTCGGGCAGGCAGAAAGTTCAGGGAGGGAGGTGTGTGTGAGAAGGGTTGGGGGGGGTTGAAGGTCTAAAACACAATCAGCACTGGCCTACATTTCACTGAGGTGACACATATAGCAAACTTAGAATATTAAACACTTATTTTTGTACAGATTTTGGCGATCTTTCATGTGGATCTTTGATAGCTGTGTAATAAACTTCTCTGATTCTTTGTTCACATTAATTACACTAATGTTTGTGATGTAACGCGTACACTGTTACTTTTTAGAAATGAAAAAAACTAAACAAAAAACTGTACAAACCAGTTCAGGCAAATACTCCAGTGTCAGGAAGCTATGATGTCATAAGGTCACATGCTCTGCATTCACTTTCACTCTTCACTAAGTGTGTGTGTGGGTGTGTGTGTAAAAGGTAAATATGAAAAGTTTAGGAATTTAGGGTTCAGGAGGGAGGAGGCAAAAGTCATCAGCCCAGTGCCTCCAATGAATAGTGACATCACAACATTAACTAGCCAGCTGTCAATGAAATTAACTGGATAATTATTTTGACATTCACTCTACTACCACCATCAAAACACATTTTTAAATCATACAATAGACCAATACAATTTACTTATTTCACATTTTAACAACCACCTTCAAGGTATTTTTATAGTTGTGGATTTTAATGGTCCCAGAAGTGCTAGTAATTTTGACCCACTACCTTCTGCTCAAACATTTGTGGCTAGGACATAGTTTGTGTTTGTGGAAGTGCTGATCTGGAATGTTGTTGTCATATTCAAGCTCCCCACAGAATGAACCATTTTGAATTTACTAACAACAGTTTCAGTTAGAAACTGTAGTTTGATACAAAGAGCTTCTCTCTTCGTAACAAACAATTTGCCTGATGAATCTAACCCCAAAGCATTGCACTTAAAAAGGTATCTTTGCAAGATAGACAGCATGCCAGAGTCTGATTGAAACTTTTGAATGTGCTTGTCCCTGTTAATCGTACACAAGACTCATTTTACACTGAATTTGTTTTGATGGACTCAAAGCAGCTGTACCTGCAGAGACTTCATCTGAACTGCATCACAGCATTGTAATTTATTTTTTCAGGAAAAGTGATGCAGCCTGTAAAAAGGCAGGAGTCATAAAAAAAAAGAGAAGGAGGAAATTGGCTACTTTCCTCTTTGTCTATAAAGTAAAATCAGGCTGTGCAAAGCTTCCAGGATCAGCTGTGAAGTGATAACATCATCCATCATCTTTGGGTTGATTTTTCAGCCTGTAATGCTGATCTCTGTGTACATCAGTGTACACAGAGATCATCACAGACTACATCAGGGTGTGGAGCATAGGGCACAGGGTTTATAGCAGTATGGAAATATCTTCAGGGCATCTGAGTGATTTTATGCTTTCACTTGCAGACTAGATACAATCTAAAATGAGAAAAACTGGAGTAAACAGCTAGTAAAAAATGATTTTAATTTATTTAAGAAAAAGGGGTTATAAACACATACAGGCAGGTATCTCAGTAAAATGATATTAAAAGTAAAAATTGTCTGCAGTAGTACAGAGACAGAGCTGAAAACACCAGTGGATTAAACGAAAAACATACACAAGAAATAGAGTCTAAATGAATAGATCAGGTTTATGTATGGCAAAGACTGTAGTTGTAGCAGATTCCAAATCAAAGTCTATTTCATGTACATAGCTGCACCAAATAAGCCAAATCACGACATCGTCGGGTTCCATCCTACCATCAACATTGTCATCAGCATGAACCATATTTGTAGTTTTTTTTTTTGTATGTATGTCTCTCCCAAGGTCGGCTTTTTCAGATTCTTCCTTAGGCAAAGTGTAAGTGTAGAATAGCCAGTATAAAAGTTTGATTCATTAACTCTAAATGATTGGAAAATTTAAACATTTCACATTTTAAAACAAAACAAAACAAAACACGTACATTTGGCAGGTGTCCCCAAACACCATCACACAAGGGTTAACTAGATATTAAGAATGATTTACCCAAAAACTGTATTGAAGAAGAAAACAGAAATAGAAAACAGTCAGAATATGTGGTTGATGTGCATGTGTTCAACTTAGACAGTGGAAAAGTGTGATTTATGGCACATAAATGAAGTACTGAGACTGGAACAGCTGTGGAGCTGCTTCCGCTCGATGTCTTTATTACCAGCAATCGTCGTCAGATCAAGAAGGAACCAATCGGAAGAGACAACATCTCAGTAATCATCATGACACAAATCTGCAAAACAGACAAAAGGAAAATTCAAGCTATGATACAAAGTCATGCAATTTGCTACTGAGTTATCTCTTTGTACATTTTATTTTTTAAATTCTGGGAAGTTTTCAGGCTTTTAGTCTAAACTAAACAACAAACAAATCTTTACAGACTAGTGAACTTAATTGACTAAAAAGCTGCAAGATTGGTGGTATTTTTGCCAGAGTAAAAGTTCATGAACACGTGAATATTTTAAAACACTGATTTGCTTAATTAATTTAACTGTGGGCAAAACCATAAGATGAGGAACCAATAGACTTTAATAATATCCATCCATCCATTATCTATACACCGCTTAATCCTCATTAGGGTCGCGGGGGGGCTGGAGCCTATCCCATAGGGCGAAGGCAGGGGACACCCTGGACAGGTCACCAGTCCATCGCAGGGCCACACTTAGAGACAGACAACCAAGCACACTCGACTTTAATAATATGAGAAGGATATTCATTGCTACTTATTCATGTTTGCCAAAAGATGTACAAGTTTATAGTTTTTGTCACAATTAGTTTTGACCATTTGTGATTTGTTCTCCGCAGGGTGCAGAAGCACTCATGGCTGTCGCTTATGGTACTGCCACCCAGCCAGGCCTGCTTTCCCAGCAGTACCCTCCCCCCCTGTTGCCAAAGCCTGGAAAGGACAACGTTCGGCTTCAGAAACTCCTCAAAAGGACTGCTAAGAGAAAGGCGTCCGCTCAGGCATCGCAGTCTGCTGCACCTTTCCGCTCCAGCCTTTCCCCTGTGAATGAAGCAAGCCCTGACCTTGAGCACAGTGACCACTCCACACCTCCCCGGACTCCAGAGACAACAGCAAGTCTCTACAGCATCCAGCAGCCCCCACGATTCACTGTCAGACCACTGTATCAACATGTGGCATCTCCTTACCCACAGCGTGCAGCTTATGGTCGGGCAGCTGGGATGTCGCCTCAGACAGTGGAAATCCCTTCATATCCTTACTCGCAGAACGCCACCACAGTTTCTTTGTATTCTGCATCCACTCACCTTCCTGGAGTCTCAAGAGCAATGGGGCAAGTCACCAGGCCAGCAACACCCAAAATATCTCTGCCAGCTCCCTCTGTGCCTAAGGCAACAGCACCAGCTGTTGAATTGAAAAAGCCAGCTGTTGGCACATTTGCTGAAACTCATGCTGGTGTAAGACCTACTGCAGCTGTAGCAACCTCACTGTCAATAACCACAAGTACAAGTCCAACACCATATCCAGTGACAGGAGGCCAAGCTATGACTCGGCCTCTTACTGTATTGACCCCATTTGGTAAATCCAAAAGTCCGCGTCCAACATTTAAAGCAACTGAACCCTCAAGATCGCCAAAACCGATGTTTGATGTCCCTCAAATTAGAATGTACACAGCAACCACATCATATTATGAGACATCCAGGACACCACCAGTATATGACACAGCTGGATTAACTGCTATTGGTAGCATGGTACCTCAAAGTAAAACGGATTTGACTCCAGCGTCTGAGGTGAGAAGAGGTACAACACCAACCGCTAGTCCTTCTTTATTAGGCACAGATCTCCAGAGGAAAACACCATCTTCAGATGTTGAAAGAAGTGCTGCACCAACAGCAGAGGTTAACACAACCATAACTCCTGCATCAGAAATCAAAAGAGCCACTCCGACAGCTGAAATCAAAAGAGCTACTCCAACATCTGAAACCAAAAGAGTAACTCCAACATCTGAAATCAAAAGAGCCACTCCGACAGCTGAAATCAAAAGAGCTACTCCAACATCTGAAACCAAAAGAGCTACTCCAACATCTGAAACCAAAAGAGCCACTCCAACATCTGAAACCAAAAGAGCTACTCCAACATCTGAACCCACTGTTAAAACTTATGAGTTCCAAATATCAAGAACTTCAGCAGGCCGGCCTAAAACGCCAGCGTACCATGTGACCCGGGCCACAACGCCTGTCTTTGAAATCTCAAGGCCCAATCCTCTCTTGTTTGCTGTGTCACCAATCACAGTACAGCCAGAGAGGTCAAGAACACCTCAAACATTTCCTGCTGCAAGCAGTTCATCTGCATCCCGAAGTCTGAAAACTACAGAACCTTCTGAAACAATAATGAATGGGGACATTCACACAGACGTGACATCTGCAGCTAAACCAACACAACAGAATATTACAAAGTCAAAGTCAGAGAATGACCTGACAAGAGAAATGATCCCAACTGCTCCACTTGGCTCTCAGAGACCTAAAACTCCTACATCTGTGCCAATAACAACAGCAGTGACAGGCGATCAGAGGCCAAAGACTCCAACGTATGAGGCATCTCGACTTATGACCACATCACCAGGCTATAAAAGACCAAAGACTCCTACCTATGGGGAATCACCTTTAAGTGTATCACCTGTAGCCTTTCAGAGACCTAAAACCCCTACCCAAGTGTCTCCAAAGTCAAAGTCTAGCTATCGTGGATTGACACCAGCTGAATATGCTGCTTACGGTGGAATCAAAACTTTCTCTCCAGCATTTGGTGTCGTAAGTTCAGTGCTACCCACTAAAGAGGAGGTTAAAGTTAAAGAAGAGGTATCAGGAGAAAGCAAAACACCTCCCAAAGAACCAAGTGTGAAAGGGCAAGCTACAGTAGATGTGTCTAAAGTTAAAGAAACCTCCAAAGGTGTAGATCAACTCCATCAGAGAGATGAAAAGATTGCTGCCACCCCTTCAGTTCCCAAGATTATTGTTTCACAAGCATCTGAATCATCAGGAACAATATTAACCAAGGAGACCAGTACAGTACCTGGTCAGGTAGCAAAAAAGCAAGAAACAACGCTGATCAAAGAGATAACAAAGGCCAAATCTACAACAGCAGAGGTGAACATTACAGAGATACACAAAGTGGAAACACCTGTTCACGAAACCAAACCAAAGACAAAGGCTCCTGAAACCAAAGGTCCTCTGCTTAAAGGGGCTGACCGAGAATCCCTGAAGTCAGTTAAGAAACTTTTAGGCAAAGACAAGGTCGAGACTCCTGAGCAGAGAGCAATAACTGACACAAAAGCTGTCTCAGAACCAAAAGAACCAATAAAAACTATGGATTCTACCAAGATTAAACCTGAAGGCTCAAAGACAAGCATTGTTCCACCTATTAAGGTACCTGCTGCTGAATCAGGAACTGAAGACAAAGTTAAAGATGAGAAAGCAGAATCTTCACTTGAGACAAAGGAAGCCAACAAGACTCTGCCAGAAGCAGAGCCCCTTCTTAAAGTCATAAAAAAGCCAAAGGGGCTGAAATCTAAAATGAGTGGTTGGTCCCGACTCAAGAAACACATGGTGGTGGAGCAGGAGGAGCCCCAATTTCCAGAGACAGGCCCTCAAAAAGAGGTCGCCGTGCAGGACCAGAGTGAGATAAAAGTGCTAAACGAGAAGGCCGAGGATAAGGCTGAGGATCAGCCTGAGGTCCAGGACGAGAACCAAACCAAAGACACTCCCAAGGCAACAAAGATGTGGGAAGCTGTCCTCTTCCAAATGTTTTCATCTAAAGAGAACATCATGCATCAGATCGAGTTAAACAAAAGTGAGGAGGAGAAGGCTGAAGAGACAAAGGATGAGCTAAAAGAGATACCTTCATTCGCATACCGACTACCTGTGCTCCTTTTCAGCCCAAAGTTTGATGCTAAAAGGCTAAAAGAGGCAGCATCGAGGCCGGTCACAAAAATATCTACTGTGTTTGAAATGGGTCTAATTGGGCGAAAAGGTAAAGAAGAGGAACCAAAAGACTTTAATAGAACAGCAAGGGGGTTCACTGCTACTTAAGCTATGTTAAATGCTAAGACAAAAATGTCAAAAAAAAAAAAACAACAACTATAATTTATGTTGAATGTACAGGTGCAGAAATCTTAGCAACAGAAATGATGTATAGGGCTGGAGTCTTAGTCTGTGTGTAAATGAATTATGTTTGTGGCAGTGTTAAAGAAAACTCAGCCTGATCTTTATACTTGACAAATGCTTTGTGCGACTGGTTGTCTGGATGTTAAATGTTTGTATTTGTGGATTAGCTGGACAGAGAGAGCTACATGTGCCTTAAAGTCATTCAGACATCTCATCAGATTAAAGTGTTTATGTAATTTCAGAGCTTCTCATTTGTTCCTTTCATCACACTTTCACAATAAATATAAATTGCTAGTTTAAGGGTTATTTAGATGCATTGGAGACTTAAGATTTAGAACTTTATTCATACTGGGAAGTTAAATAGGCTTTTTAGTAAATAAAATCAACTTGTAGTGAAAGATAAATGTTTAAAATAGCTGTTATTTTTAATAGATAAAACACCCACATTTTCAGAAAAGCTTGTTTTGTGAAAAATGTTAAATAGCTAGTGTTATTCAAAATGGTGCTACATGCCTCAGGGTAACTCTCTCACTAGACGATGGAGAGTGACATGATTTTTAATGTTTTTTTCAGGTTGTAGATGGTTAGGTTTTGTGAATGAATCTTCTTAAAGTCTAATGGAACGCAATTTAATTTCACCTTCTGTGTGCACAGAGTCAGTTAGACTGAATAAAATGGGCAGACAGAAGGCACTTACAGTCTGTGATTAATGCTACAATCAGATTTTAATATTTACACATTACCAACTGGATTTTTCTTTTTTTTTACACAATCTCTTTTCAAATTAAAGCTTCACATTATACTTCTTTCTATTTCCATCTGTTTTTTGCTTGGTAGTAATATCTAATGACTGAAAAACTATGTGATAAAAAGCAACATCATTAAGTTTTATTTATGACAGAACCACATGTAGACACATTATATAGCCGGCAGGTGTACGCTAGACCAGTATTACCACATTAGAAATAGCAAAAAGTGATAAGAACAGTTTCATATTAAACTAAGAATGTAAATGTTGCTTGAAGATGGTCTCTGAACTAAAAGCTTGTGAATGTTGTTGAAGAATGATGAAGAGCAGCCTCTGTCATGATGGAGGTCAGTGGGTGAGTGATTTGTGGGGTCAAAGATCGGGATGTGCAGAGGGCGTTCAGTTAACGGTGATGCCAGGTGGGAAATCCAAACTTTATTTTTCTAGCTGTATTTCAAACCTGCTGGGAGACAAAGTGAAGTTGTTTTGTTTGGTTAACACGTGTGCTTAAGTCTGATTAATCTAGGTACAGCTTCAAATAAATAAATGAATAAATAAATGTTTAATTGATAGATTTCCATCTTTGACTAATCAGAACCTGCACTTTCACTTTTACACTTTCAAAATACGTCCAAAGCAGAGTCTCCCTTATGCTTAGTTTATTTGGAGTTGTTGTGGAGCAGTAAGCTGCAATAATAAGATGACTGAAGATTTTTCCCTAATCAGATCAAATCAAGCTTCTACCAATGGCAGGACTACTACTCAAGACTTTTAATATTGAATTTAGTTTTCAGATGTTCAAATGTACACCTGGGTAACTCTGCTTAAGAAGGATTCTACAGCGTGCCATTTCATAATAAAACCAACTGAATACAAAAATGTATATTTGTTTGTTGTTATGTTTTTTAATTGATTACGTCTCAAATCATAAAGATCCATCAATTTCCTAAATTAGAAAATGTATAAATTGATGAAAAAAATGATCTTGGAAGGCATTTCACAAAAATAATTTACTTTTACTCCAGCAGCCAATGACTGCTAAGTGTTTTTACACAAATTATTTTAAGATATTTTTCACAGATCTTGCTCCAGATTTAGAACTTAACATGATGTTAACAAAAGTCTGATTGGGTTGAAACACAACATTTTGTTTAATGCATGGTTGTGTAAGTTGGTTACAAAAAGTAAGTATGTTTTAACTGTAAGAAATGACTGACTCTTTTACTTTTGTTCTTACTATTTTCTTATACTTAAGTACATTAAATGAAATAAAGGTACAGCTTCGTTCCCATTCAGGTCATGAGTTTTCTATTATGATAGTAACAATGAACCACTATTCTAGCTATACTACTGTCTGTGATTGTCTACTACACTTTGATGCAGCAAATATTTCTCATTAAACAAAATCCATTCAGCAGGACCATGAGAATATAAAGTGCATTATCAACCCCATACAAGGAATTAAAAAAATTCCACCTAATATTATTTTACACAGTAAACTGCAACATTTTCAAATCTTGACTAATATTAACAGAGAATTAAACTCACAGACAGCCAACGGCTGCTTCTTGTTCATAAGGTCTGTACCTTACTATGACTAGATGACATATGTTGTGACTATATAAATAAAAGTGAATTGACCTGACATTGTTCTAACCCTGTGTCAGTGGTCTTACCAGACTTTCTGCTTGTGAATCCTGCTTCATCCTCATCATCCACAGGAATCTTCTCATATTTGCCGTGCCCGGTGACCACAAATTTGTACTTTTTACCCACTGCTGAGCCCTGAGAAGAGATGAGACACACATCTGACTGAAACTGTAATTTTTTTTTAAAGTTAAGCCTTTTTAGTCACAAAACACAACCACACAAAATGCAATGGTGCTGTTTCAAACTACCAAAACTGTGAAAAATGTTAAATAAAATAAAAGGTAAAAAGCATGTTAACAACTACAAGACTTTATGAAGTTGATGTTATGATGTTTTATACTGATTGTTGCTGTTATGAAAGTTATCTTCACACAATGGAGTTGCAAAGAAGATGAACTATTTTTAGGTGGCCATCACCCCTGTAGTAAAACCCACATTCATTATCCCACAGACCATGACAGAGCAGTAAACAGCTACAGTCCTACTGTTCAAATGGGCATGAAAGTCTCCTGGTTGACTCATCAATATGAAATGTGAACTCAAAAATATCTGGTTGTTTGATTTAAAAAAAAAAAAAAAAAAAGTTGACGATGAAAGACTGTGTGCAGGAACATCCAGTCACAGGGTTTAATTTGTTTTTAGCTGGAGGCTAAAACTGAACACAATATCTTCAGCTAAAATCAACTCTCTGTAAAATAAAGGTAGTGAGCGCTCCCTTCCAGTGTGTGGCTGAGGGCACAGCCTGGCTCACTGGCTGATTAAACTCACCTACCATTCATCTCACCTCATCAAGACCTCCATAAAACCCTGGCTTTCCTGCTCTCCAGCCAGATTAGTTGTGACTACGGCACAGCCACAGTGACTTTTTGGCTGCCTCCAGTGAAACAAGTGGAGTACTGGACTCTAGAGCTTCTGATCTCCAGCTCCCTGATCTTTGTGTTTGTATGTATAAGTCTTTCTGAGTGCTTCACTGCCAGCTGCAGATTTCACTTAGCTGAGCTTCAGCCTCCTTGTGCTCTGACTGACAGACTGTTCATTTAATAAATCCACCTTTTCTCCTACAGCTGTGTTCTGCTTCTGGGTCCAAAACAAAAACCAAAATCCCACATGATGGTTTCAGCCTGACTGACAATATAAAAGTTGTCTGGCTCTGCCACTGGACATCTGGGTCAGTTCTGGATGAATTAAGCAGCAACATCTCCATGTTTTGACATCATAATATGTGTGCATGCATACCTTCACCCTTTGCCCAGGTCTCCCTGATGAGTCACCAATGATCTCCCACATGTTTTTCTTCTGCATCACATCTCCAGGCTTCACATCCTGATGAATCAATAAATAACCACAGTTCATTAGTTCTCTTTTTGCTCTCCACTAGAGGGAAACCTTACACAACAAACTATCAGAGCTGCACATGCACAGGTCACATCACTGTCAGGTCAGCAGCTACCCTCAGGATGTGATCTCACTGCAGCTGCTTTGAAACCTTTTACACACAGAAACAACTTCAGGTTCTGCTCATTAAAAAGGCTCCTTCACTTCACCTTTGGTTTGTCAGCTGTTTAGCAATATAGCTTGAAAAAAATAATAATAATGGAAATTATATTTACAGCATGATCTCTTATCACCAACAGGTGTATTCAGAGATTTATGTGAAAGCCTGTTGGTGTATAATTTAGTGTAGAACAGCATCACATCACTTCTGT